GAATTCGCCTAGTAGGCAAGCGTCGAACCCGCCCACTTGACACAGGTGTCTCGTGGACAATAATTTTTGCCTACGTTTTTTGGCAACACTGCCGCCTAGGCGTATCCGTGGAGTACCCGTAGTGGGTTCTGGCAGATCTGAGGGTCCACGAGGTATACCGCGGGGTGACAGCCGTTGGGTAAAGGGCCTCCCCGCATGGAGCTACAAGCAGCAGGGAGTTGAAAGGTGGACAAGCGCGCTCGACTCTCAGGACGGCGCTGGTCTCAACCACTGAACCTCCACGAGCGGCGTGTACCTGTACATGGCATGAGGGCAAGCACGAGGGGGGGGGGGGGCAGTAAGTGAAGTTAATGCAAAAGGAAGTTCGCCGCGCGCTGAACGTACAAAAGAGCATCAAATTTGACCCGCTGTCTGCAAAGTTTCGAAAGGTTCAGTGTGTCTTCAGGTCGGCTCGACGGGTGTGGTTGCCCCCGCGGCCCCTGGACCCGTCACCGCCGGCGTGCTCAGCGCTGTCAGCACCGACCTTCACGTGGTTATTCTCGTTAACTGGCTAATCGGGATCAGAGGAGAGGATGACACATTGACAGATGTCAGGAATCCTATTCTAGCGCGCTCAGAAAGGTGGTGAGTTGCTTTTAGCCGCTGTCACGGCGGACGTGGGCGGGCGGGCCAGTGCTGGTCCGCGAACAGCTCCCTAGGGCGCGCGCAGGTCAGGCCTGGGCCGGTTACTATGTAAGGGGGACCGGGGCCGTCAGCGACACGTCCTCGTCGAGGCACTCGCGGGACTCGTCGAACACTCACACTCGCTCGCCACTCGCGCGGCCGGCTCTTCGGTTGTGCCCCTGCGTTCAACCTTCCTCCTCGTCGGCCGTCATGCTGTCTCTCTCGCACCCGCAGGCGCGGCGCCGCGGAGGGGGCGTGAGGGCGCTCGCGGGGCGCGGCGGCGGGGCGGGGCGCGGCGGTGGTGCGGCGGCGGGGCGCGGCGCTGGTGCGCGGCGGGACGCCACGGGGCGGGCTGAGCGCGGCGGCGGTACGGTGCGGGCCGCCCGGAGCAGCGTGCGG